ACCTCAAGCAAGGCAACCTCCTTTAATGCCCTCTAAAATGCAAAGCATTTTATATGGAGCGAGGAGTATGGGGTAGCTCTTCAACTATAAAAAATCTTATCCTAGCCTCACTAGTACAAAATGCGTGGCCCTGGAAATGCCTACTATTGTATCTCAGAGTCAGTTAAGGTGTCATTGGCTCAATATTAGTTAGAGAAGATAGGAGAAGGCAATGGCCCATTTAGTATGTAATCAAAGCACTAAAGGGCATACCCCAATCATGAAAAAATTGATATGTCTATGCATAATCTCAGCTCAACAACTCTGCACTTTAAATCTCACTCAATCCAAGTCATCACCGACATCATCTAAAAGCCATGCTTTCTAAATCAGGTTATTCTGGAAAGTTGCTTAAATGGGTAGTTGAGGTGAACGATTCAAGTTTTAAACAACAAGATTACTCGCTATATGCAACCTAAATCCCCTAAACACAAGACCTACAAAACGTCAAAACAGCGCAACGTCAAGTCAATGAAACGTACACTATAGCCCGAGAAGGCGGCTCCTCTTATAAGGATAAAATTTGCATCAAATAGCATGCGAGTCTCTAACAACAAGAGAGTCTAGATGGTTACCAACATAAAGACTACAATCTGGCAAAAGGCAATGCTCATTTAAGGAAAAATGGTGTCAAGTGAAAGTTGAAAAAATTTTAAGGAATGTGCGAGTATCATCATATCTAGCAGAGCTAAATATTTGAATTTTTTTTAAGAATGTTAGCCAATGGGCATGACTCCTAAAGGGACCAATCAATGTGCCAACACAACTCTATTCAGTCGTAAGTTAAAATTTAAAGAAATTTGAAAAATGTTAAACAATGAGTAAGTACCATTACATCTATTCTATAACTAAAAAAATGAACACATATAAAGAAAAAAAAAAAGAGGCGAGTAAAACATTTTCGTTGTGATAGGAGAAAAATTATTAAGTTCAAATTACTTCTATTATGATTATTATGCTTTCAAATTCTTATGTTTTTGTGCATGAAACAAGTTAAAAATTATGAAAAATGAATTAGCACAGCAGCGCTACAAAGTTTGTGCCACAATGTCATAATTTCTCCCAGCATTGTAGCACCACTAATGCAATGTCGCAATAGAGAGGTCATAGAAGATTATTGGAGAGCTTAGTATTGAGGCACTATTCCGGGAGCATTGCAGGACCAGATCGAGCACAACTCCAAATCAACCACTACTGCGACTGGAGACTATTAGACCGGTGAACTGATGTGATGAGTGGTGAACTAACACACCGGTCTAGCATTGCCGCAGTGCCAAAATGCTAGTTTAGTTATCTTGAAATGTTATTAAGGGCTGACAGTTTACAGAGACGTGTGTGTGTGAGTGTGAGAGGCTACTTATGCTAGGAAATAGCTCTTCTATATCTCCATGCGAGTCTTGTACTGGTATGGATAGAGAGGAGTTCAAAAGTGCCTATACTGCTTATCCAGGTCATTACTATCCTTATTCTCAACTCTCAAGTTATACTTTTGTTTTATTTACTGAAATAAAAATTATTGTTCTATTAATTGTATCTTCATGTGTGGCTAAACACTTAATATGAATTTATGAATATTTAAGAACCATGTATTGTATATAGTAGGTGTGTTATTTTATAAATTGCTTAATGCTATTTTTAATTCCTCCAAACTTAATTTAGTTTATATGTATAGGTCATGCATTACTTAAAACCTAGTATGCCTATTAGAACTATACTGAGCGGAGGATTTGTATTGATTATTAGAAGTTTAACAAAGCCACTATGAAGGATCATTTCCTGTTGCCCTTTATTGATCAAATGCTAGATTAGTTAGGCATCATTTCTACTATTTTTAAGATTACTACTCTGGTTACCACCATATTCTCATTTCCATATTTCCACCAAAAATCAGGATAAAATAATATTCAAAAGTCCTTAGAAACATATGTGTTTGGATGTGTTGTCCCTTCCCGTAGCCAAAAAAAAAAAGAAATGAAATATTTAAGTCTTACCTGCTCTCTGTCGCTCCCACGTCGTTTGCACGTCGAAGACACGCCCGAGTCGCTTCGTGCACGATCTTCTCCTCCACGTCGCTCACAGAGCACGCTGGCGTTGTTAAAAGAAGCGAATGGACGAGGCCTTCGGGCTCTCAGTTTGATCTCTCCCTCACACGATCTTTCTCTCTGACCCTCGCTCCCCTCCGACGACTCTTCCTCCTCGCAAGATCGAAGTCACGACACTTTGATCGGAAGCCACAAGGGGAGCTCGCTCGCTGCGGCAGTAACTTTCTCCCTCCCGTCGCTTCTCCGGCTCCGTTCGTGGCTGGACAGCTTCGCTCCTCCGACGCTTTCCCTTCCTGTTGGAGCGGAAGTCCGACGCTTTTGATCGAAAGCAACAGGAGCTCGCTGGCGTGGATTTAACTTTCTCCCTTTACTTCTTCGGCTTCTTCCTGGTTGTCCGGCTCCGCCCCTTTGGCGACCTTCCTGTCCGACCGGAAGTTACGTCATTTTGATTGGAGAAAACAACGGGAGCTCGCTAGTGTAGAAGGTAACTTT